AAAGCTTTTGATTCCATAGACCACAACATCCTTCTAACCAAACTTAAAAAAATCTCTTTTTCTTCTAGTTCCCTTAATTGGTTCCAATCCTTCCTTATCGATCCTTCTGGTCGCTCCGAGTATGTTGTAATTCCTAATAACTCCCCATCAGAATCTCTACCTCTGTCCAGAGGCGTTCCATAAGGCTCTTCCTTATCCCCCACCCTTTTCTCCATCTATATAAATGACCTCCTGTCCTCTATCCTACACTGTCAATACCACCTGTACCAATTTCTCAGATGCCATTCTTAAACTCTAGGAAGACATTAATAGAATAAGTGCTTGGGCAAACCTCTGAATGCCGAGAAGACAAAAGCCATCTTGATCGGATCCCCCTCACTCCTCAAATCCTACTTGGTATCTCCCAATCTCCTATTGAATAACTCACCTATACTATTCCACACCACCGTTAAAAACCTAGGTGTTACTTTTGATCAAACCCTATCCTGAAAACTACACATATCCCAAATTTCCCGTCGCACTATCTCCACCCTAAAACAGTTCAATTGTCTTTGATATCTCCTTCCATATAAGTCCCATCAACTTCTAGTTTCCTCCCTTGTTTTCCCTCACTTCGACTATGGCTGTATGGTGTGCGGTGGACTCTCTGAAGATTTCAAGGCCAAACTTAAATGCCTAATGAATTGCGCACTACGATTTGTTTTCGGAATCTCAAAGGTTACGCATATTACCCAGTATTACACCGAGTTGAGGTGGCTCTACCCATCCTATTGCCGTCAGTACTTCCTAGCCCCCTTTCTGTAACAAATCATTAGAACCCATCGACTCTCCTATATTTTTCACAGCTTACAATTCAAATACTCCATCTAATCCTGTCCCACTTGATCTCGTACTTCCAACCTCTATCCTCCTCCTCACTGAACTGCTGCGTTTGACAAATCGTTTGCAATACAAGCCGCCTCCCTCTGGAATTCCATCCCTGCACAATCAGTTTCCTCTTTCAAACCTCTCCTCTTTAAACACCTACTCCTTATGACTGATAGCGAAATATATCCAAGAGAAATATCTAAGCACCCCCAGAGACTACCTCAATTTATTTAGGTTATTTTAGTTTCTTATATATGTGTACAATTTTCTTGTTCTTTTCTTTCTCTTCTTCAGTATTTTTATTTTTAGTCGAGTCTTATTGTAAATATATAATCTAATTTTAACCACACAGACATACAGTCTGTACTTATAATTTGTTCTAAAGGGACAATGGTCCCAGAATAATAAAATATTTTTTCATTTCATTTCAATATAAACACGGGAAACTCAATGAAGGGAAGGAAAGGACATGTGCGTGCGCATGCACACACACACAACTTGAGGTAGGTCTCAATTTCGTCCCTAATAAACCTCCACTTAATTAATATGTACTTAAAACTTATTAAACAAGGAAGTTTTTCTAAAAGTGCAGTATCTGTAGTATAGTTGAATGATAATAAAAAAACTCACGAATAATTTATGAGATTTTAAAAACAGAACTTAGCTTAGTTTAGCCACTCAAAAGTCCTTTTTAAATGGTTTTAACAATGACAAACTATTCATTCATTTGAAGTAATTTTTTTTCTAGTTTACAGTGAAGCAATGGTTAATAACTTAAATTAAATATTTCTTTAGTTAATCCTTCTTATTCAACAAAAAATGTGACTTACTTAAAAAACCACAAAACTTTCCTACTTCAAAAAATTCCTACTTTCGTGCTCAAAATCGGCCCATTGTTTGGATAAAGTTTTTTGTAGCTCTTGAGGTCTTTTATCACCCCTATAAATATTTCCCTCTACTTTTGGGACACCCTGTATATTTCACATATCGGTAAGTGAGTGTAAAAATTAATGAGGTTTTATATTCTGTCACCTAAAAATATCCATGTTTTCAGAAAAAATTACTAAAATAAATCATCGAAAAGCTGTTATTTCTTGTTTTTCCATGACCTGGGTTGTATTACAATAAACTCAATTACCTAAATACACTTTTTATTTATTAAAAAAAAAAATGGTAAAAATAATATTTTTCATGTTAAGTGGTTATGAAAATGTTTGTCTGTTTTACCCATATCTCTATTATATGAATGGATCTGTATTTATAAGTGACAAACTAAATGTTCCTGATCCTAATATTTAGTTTTTCATGAAAATAAATGAAACAATCAGCAGGTTAATTTATTTTAAATGTAAATATTAGAACTAGGAACATTTATTTTGTCACTTTTAAATACAGATCAATTCCTGTAATAGAGATTTTAGTAAAAGAAACATTGTCATTGTCACTTTAGATGATGCATAATCGAAAAATTATTATTTTTAACAATCCTTTTTTTAGAAATAAAAAATGTATTAAGGCAATTATGTTTATTATAATATATCTCAGGTCATGGAAACACAAGAAATAAAATCTTTGTAGTGATTTATTGTAGTCATTTTTGGTGAGTTATATAGGTACTTCTTTCTAGGTGTCAGGATATTGCTATGATATAAGGAGATATAATTTTGAAAAGAATTAATAATGCTATCTTATCCCCAAAAATGGAATGATGTTTGATAATGCTGTTCTAAGCGGAACATTATTTCAGGATGCCACTGGATAATTATTGAGGATAATTATCCATAATTATTAAATAAAAATTAATAATAAAAAAATAGTAAAAGAAATATAAATATCTGAAATTTTAATTGGTCCAGGAATAATTAATTGGATTTCTTTTCTCAAAGGCTTGTTTGTCTTTATCATGCTTCTAATTATCTAACTTGTTTACCTAGCTAACTTGTTTACTTCTGTTAAATTAAAACCTTCCTCGAACGGTGATATCTATTATTAGAGCGATCCAATTTGTGTGAACTGTCAAGAAGTAATATTCAATTTAAAGCTTATTTGTCCTATGTTTGATACATAGTAATATAAAATCAAATAATTTTTTTTATGCAACTTGAGGTGAGTCTCAAATTTTGCTTAACAAACCTCAATGTAATTAATATGGGCTTAAAAACATATTAAACATGAAAGTTTTTCTAATTGTAGGGTATCTGAAGTATAGTTGGACAACGATAAAAAAAAAAATCGTGAATACTTTATGATTTTTATTTAAAACAGAACTTAGTAGCTTACTTTAGACCCACAAATTACCTCTTTAAATGGTTTTAACAATGACAAACTATACTACGATTTGAAGTAAATTTTATCTAGATCCCTACTTATTCAAAAAATGTGATACTTATAAAAACACTGTTTGATCACGGTAATTTGGTGTGACCCAAATATTATGCATTGATCTGTAGTTGAATTATGTTGCGCTGTAGATTGTGAAAATTGGTGTGGACTGTATGAGGTTGGATCGCTGAAATTTAATACTTGATTAAATAAAACAAAAGATTGAAAACATGATTATATTACATATAATTGAATAAAAGAAAAGAAATAAAATGTGTGACTTAGTACAATTTTCTGGTTCTTGACAGATTAAGTACTTATTACTGATTGTGAAATTACAATTTTTAGTATGGCATTGTAATGTTAGAAGTGATTTATCTTGATTTAAATTGAATTGTCAATTTGGACTCACTTGCTGTCTGAAATTGAGCTTCATGGTTTTGGCCACCTCTTCTTCCTCCCCATACTTCCTCCACCAGGTTGTCTCTTGAAGTTTAGCAACTCATATCTTCTTTCTCGCTGATTTCTGAAGAGAGTATCTAATGTGTGCACACTTCACCAAATGAATAGGATTAACTTAACAAGAATAATTTGCAGCAAAATGGAGGCCATAAAATGGTGGTGAAGTTCTGAATTGTATAGAATTTTATGTGTGTGTGTTTCAGGAGTTGATCCCTGAACAAACACTAAACTTGAATTTTCTACTTTTCTGCGGAAAATCGGAGTATTGTTTATGTAAACTTTTTTGTAACTCTTGAGGTCTGCTATCACTCCTATAAATATTTCCCTCTACATATCGAACACCCTTTATATTTACTGAAGATACTGTTTCAATTTTTGATTACGTAGCTTTTGGCCAGATATTGTTTCTGTTTATTTGCAAACATTTGTTATTCTCTCTTAATACAAAAAGTGAATTGCAAAACAGCATCACTTTCTACAAAGAACACATCTTTAAAACAATAAAGTTCGGAAGATAACAACTCAGGCAGCTATGCATATACATGTCTTATTACTTCTGTTTTAGTTATTCTTTTATTCTAATAGATCTTTTGGCCAGATTTAATGTTAATTTATATGAGCAATATTATTATTGTTAAGAGACTTTGTCCCGGAATAAAGTTGATTTTTCTATTCTATTTTATTCTATCAATCAATTGACAAAAGGGGGAATGGGGTAACTCAGTGGGTGAGCACTGACTTCCAGAGCTTAAGGTCCCAGGTTCGAATCGGGCTAATTACTAGTAATTTTTCATCGGCCGTGGATCGACCTGGGGCACACCTTGCCTCTATAAAGTGGGTACTAATAATTAAATAATTAATTAAGGAGAAAAACATGGCGGTTAAGTGTGATTTTGGTCCAATCACCTCCCTGAACAACTGTTGGTCTTGTAACAGTACTTCCTCACATATTACTGAACCCAAGATCCTTCATGGGTTGTAGTGGTGCAGGTTTTTTAAATTTAATTTTATTCTTTATTTATTTATTTATAGCCTGGATTCATGGAATTAGGAATCTACTGCCTGAATTGCCAAACCATCATTTCTCTTTGTTTACTTTAATTTAATGAATTTTCACTCGATACAAAATTTTTTTATCTATTTAGATTCATGATGGAAATTGTTGAATACAAGTTGATTGGGGATTGCAGTAATGCAAGTACAAAAAATAAATTATATTTATTTTCTTTGGGCTGACATTTCAGGCTTTTATCAGGGCTGCTTGTTCAAAGTTATTCGTACGAGTGATTTAGATTTGTATTTATATATTATATATCTATTTATTTTTTCAATGATTTATGTAATTCTAGGATAGAATATGGAAGATTTGCTTACCTGGAAGGCCATGAATACCGTATGTACAATACATATGATGTTCACTTTTATGCCTCATGCTCCTTGATATCACTTTGGCCAAAACTCCAACTATCTGTCCAGTATGACATTTGTGATGCTATTGAAAGAGAAGACAAAACTAGAACATGGTTTTTATATAATGGGAAGCATGGTTACAGGAAAGTCAAGGACACTGTGCCTCATGATTTAGGGGATCCAGGTAATATTTTTCTTTTATTTCTCATTTTTATTATCATTCCACTATTATCCTTTAAACTCAATTCCCACATATTATTTTTTTTTCTCATAAAATTATTAAAAAACTGAACAATAACCATTTCATAATTATATACACTCCTTTTCTGAATTCAGTTAAAACCTAAATGAAGAAAGTTAAACTTTCATGTTATCTCTGAACCCTATTCATAACTTGAATTTCTAGAACTTCAAACCTATTTTTAACTATAAATGTTTTCTTTCTTATTTGTTCAAATGAAAAACAAGTTACTTGTGTAAGGGACCCAATAAATTTAGTTTAGTTTTAATATCATAATATGTACCGTCTAAAATATCTACCATCATGATATATATTTCAACACAAATTTCTCATGGGGTTGGTCTCTTATTCAGTACCAGGGCACAGCCAACCTAGGAATGTGGGGACCTGTTCACTCTTTCGACCATCTTCTTAAAATATTAAAATTATTCTTAATTACAAAGCATCAAAAATTTGTATACATAATTTATTATAACATAATAAGCTTTTTGTTGTATTTTTGTTTTTAGATGAAAATCCATTTGTTTTAATAAATAGCTATCCAATTCATGATGTTTCAACATGGAGGGATTTAAACCTGAAATATGTTCTTCAAGTTTATAGGGATTATGTTATAACAAAAGATGTTCAATATGTGGTTGATATGTTTCCTCAGGTTGTTATTGTTATCAAACATGCAATGACATGGGATAGTGATAATGATGGAATGATAGAAAATTCTGGTTATCCTGACCAAACTTATGATGCTTGGGTTATGTCTGGTACAAGGTAAATAAAGATCCATTGCTTATTATCTAAAATATTATCTTTATTTCATAAAAAGGTGATTGATGGGAAGAGAAGGACATACTTTTTTTTCTCGCAACCTCTGACCTGTTCCAAGTATGATTTTAGTTTAATTTTGTCTCCAACTTGCTTACTTGTTATTGTAATTGCAAAACAGTTCTTATTTTATTAATATTTAAGAAAATATTCCTACATTAATATAAGCAGGAATAATATAAATATAAATCATATACTGACTTATTTATATACAGGAAGGGTATAAAATACAAAAGGGTCTGTAAAGATAAAGCACACTATCAGTGTACACTTTACAACCTTCTCAAGGAAGACGCTAAACATGGAGAACTAGTTAGGAGGTTTAAGAGACATTTCCTCCACTTGACATGGGAAACATAGGTCTGATAAACCTGCTCTCTAAATCTTATCTACCAAGAAATCAACATGAGGATTAAATAGACTGGAACTCAGGAAACAATGCAGCAAATCATGAGATCCTTCTTTCCAAACTCCAAAGCCTGCCCATGTCAAATAGCGTCCTAAAATGGTTCCTATCCTTCTTATCCAATCGATCTCAGACAGTTACAATACCGAATAAACCTCCATCATCATCACTACAATTAACGCGAGGTATTCTTCAGGGTTCCTCACTCTCCCCGATCCTTTTCTCCATCTATATCAGTGACCTTCCAAACGCCATTCAACACTCCAATTACCACCTATATGCCGATGATTTCCAAATATACCAATCATTCCAACCTTCTGAGATGCCTGAGGCTGCCCGGAGGCTACAAGAGGACATCGACTGCATCAACAGATGGGCAGAAATAAATGAATTAAAGCTGAATGCAGATAAAACCAAGGCTATTATCATCGGGTCCAGACATCTCATCAGCTCGCTTATCTCATCAGCTTCCTTACTTTGCTCTACTTTACCTCAATAACCATCCCATCCATTTTTTCCCTACAGTCAAAAACCTAGGAGTAACCTTTGACCAGAACCTCTCCTGGGATAATCATATTTCCCAGATTACCCGAAAATCCATAACTGCCCTTAAACAACTCCTAAGATTCCGTGATTGTATTCCTCTAAAAACCAGACAGCTCCTTGTAACCTCCCTTGTATTCCCCCACTTCGACTACGGCTGATTGGTGTTTGGAGGGCTATTAGCCAGGCTGGAAATGAGACTAAAAAGACTCATGAATTGTTTCATAAGATAAATTTTCGGGATTCCCAGGCGTTCACATGTTTCACTATGGTACACCGAGTTGAAGTGGCTTTTTCCTACTTCCCGACGACAATTCCTTCTTGGCGTTTTCCTTTTCCAAGTCTTCAGAACTAAAAACCCTCCCTACATCCTGGAACTCCTTACTCTGCTCTCCTCTATCCACTCTCTCAATACTAGGTCTCAACCTATAGACTTATATATTCCCTCCCATAAAACTTCCTCCTTCAGCAAATCCTTCGTCATTCGTGCTGCTTCCTTATGGAACTCACTTCCTACCTCCATGTGTCAATCCTCATCCATAAATTCCTTCAAACAACTCCTGTTCCAACACCTACTCCACATTCAAACTTCCCCTAACATGTAAAATTACTTGCATCTATACAACGTTTAATTTCAATCCATTGCACAATTGAAATAACAATTAACAATAAATTAGTTGGTATTTTTACTATGTCAGACTAAGATACATAAATTTGTAACTCTGTTATTATTCTTAGGGGACAGTAGTCCCAGAATAAAATTTTTTTTTTTTTTCTTCATTTTCATTTTCATTTCATTTCATTTCAAATATAAAACGGATTCCACACTTGCCTCATTGAATATTTTATCATTTTAGTGCTTCTGAATATTCTTTATAAATACCTCATAGACATAGATCCCATTCAGGTAATTAGGTGGACTGGACAGAGGACTCTCAATAAAAGAGCATGTACTGACTATTACAACTGCAGTGATACCCTCTACACCAAATTCATTCTTGGGAGGAAGCTGTCGCAACTCATGATAGGATAAATAAAAAAAAAGGATGAAAACAATTAGGGTAAGTGCACCAGTGATGGACATAGCTAAGGAAATGTTTGTCTTTTTTGGCTTATGCTGCCGCAATTATTATAGTTATTAACTTCTCCATTGAACACTTAGAATCTCCAGAGTATCCTTTTTGTATTTAACATTTTAAAATTGAAATAAAATTACAAGTTTCCAAATTTTAAATGATGGCAAGCCCAATATCTTTCATGAGTTCTTAATATGCAACATTCAAATTATGGACAACATTCTACTTATTTATGCAGTGGACTGTATTTTAATGGATTGGTAGGTTATACAAATTGTGCAAAAACAGCTTACCATTTTTATGCCGGCTTAAGAAATTTGGTACTTGAGGGCCCTTAAGTGCAAGTGTTGTCTCTGTGGATACTTGTGCTGGAATGGGTTGAGTGAACCGGCAGCAAGTATGGATTAAATGTTATCTTTTAGATCTTCTGATCTGCTCCCACCACTCACCCTAACAAGGGAATTTGGAAGTTTCTTTGCACAAACATATCCTCCACCGTGAAATATCTCATTTCACAAACAAAAAAAAAAAAAACCAAACTCAGAGATTGGTGAATACCAGGCAAAGCAAAAACGAGAGGACAATGCTTGGTTTACAATAAAGAAAGAGAGAAATTATTCAAAATAGATTTTTGGAAAATCAGAAATAAAGTGAGCCAGATCAAAGATAGGCTAATAAATTACAATTAATTTAAAATAAAATGACTCCTCATTACATTTAAACTGGGATGTATGAGCGACAGGGGGCCACCATGCAAGGAATACCTGTTGTAATGGTCACACAAAAGGACTGCTAAATGAGAATCTTTAGGTATCAGCAGCGGGTGCTTGCTTTTCTCTTCGATCGTAGAATACTTCATTCTACCTCCTACCCTGAGATCTCCGTCCTTATCCAAAAATGGTGTGAGCCTATTTAAGGAACCCTTATATGTTTTGCCACCTTCAAGACAATCAATTAATTCAGTGAAAAATTTCCTCTGAACGAGGCTGACATAAATTATCAAGGAATCCTTAAAATTGTCAGCAATCCATAACTGCCCTTAAACAACTCCTAAGATTCCGTGATTGTATTCCTCTAAAAACCAGACAGCTCCTTGTAACCTCCCTTAAACAAGGTTTCAGCAGCAAAAACATCTTGCTCCCAATCCCAGCAACATTTGATAAATTTTAAAATGAAAGCAAAAACCGTTTGCAGCTTTAAAAGGCTTGAATATTTTTTCAGACAAATGAACAAATTGTTAGGTTTTTCAGCCACTTAAAGAGATATTGTTTTTCCTTCAGGTAGAACAGGTGAAGGTTCAATATGGTAAATAGGCCAGTCATGAGAAAGTATCTGATGTGGTGTGAGGCTTCTCGATAAACAATCGGCTAGATTCTGTTTTGTAGGAATATATTGCTAACAACTGGATTCTATTACTTCCAAAATCTGTACTACGCAATTGGCAACATAAATCTTAAGTTCATGTGGCGGTGTCTGTAACCAATAGAGTACGTTACGATAATCCGAAAAACAATACACTTCCTCAATTTGCAAATGACTTTTAAGTTTACCAATAAGCGCCCATAGTCTGGAGGCAAGAAGAGCACCATTTAATTCCAAACGAGGCCCTGATTGAACCTAAATTGGGGCCACCTTACTTTTTGCCCTTACCAAATGAATTTTGGTAGCTTCTTCAGGGCATCCAACTCTCAGGTAAATCACACATCCGTAATCCCTCTCAGAAGCGTCTGAAAAGGCAATTAGTTGAATGGATGATGCATTCTGGCTGCCAATACAACGATGCAGGCAATCATTTTTCAAGCTCGGAAATCCGTCAAGGAAAATATTCCACAATGAAGACACACTAGAGGGCAACTCATCATCCCAATCAACCTTAAGCAGCCACAAACGTTGTAAGAGGCATTTAATGGAAAACCTACTGGACTGATATATCCATTTATATAAAAAATTTGGCAATGAAGGATAGAATACCTCGCTTTGTAAAAACAGGTTCACTTTCCTGTATTGAATACCTGAAATGATAGAGTTTAGGATCCCAAACCCGACATGATCCAATCTATCTTACATATTCATCCATCTGTGCAGCATAGGCAGACTTATACTCTGGATCTCTCCTAAATCTATTTTCCAGATTTCTAAATCTGCATAGAGCTATCTCTCTAGTAGAATCAAGGTCATTCGGCTGGTCAGAACGGAACGAAAGCGAAACAACAAATCTATCCTAGAGATTACGAGTACATGTATTTATAAAGTGATCTTCGCAAAATGCATCTTCAGGATTCAGCAGAATCGAAACTGTGACTTCCTCAGTCTCCCAAAATCGCTTTAATTCCTCCTGTGAAGAAGGGCTGGTCTGTGTGAAAATAGTACGTACTGAAGGTATAGGGCTTTGGCTTTTCGAGAGGGTGTCCCCAAATAATACCCATCCTAATGAGGTATGAATAGCTTTCGGTTGACCCTTAAGAAATAAAACTGGCTCGCTTAAAACCTAACCGTATATCTCATAACCCAGAAGCATATCAACTTTTCCCGGTATATGAAATTGAGGGTCTGCAAGTTCAATTAAAGCAAATTTATTCTGTACTTCTTGGGATACAACAAATGAAGGCAAACTTCCACTGATGCAGGGCAATACCCTGGCTGAAAACTCATATATATTGCTATTTCTTGTCGAACCCAACTTCACTTTACTCTCAGCTGAAGATGAAGATATGGAGGTATTACCTACTCCAGACACCACAAGAGGACTGACGAAGGCGCAACTTTTTCATTAGATCAGTGGTAATTAAATTAATTTGTGAACCTGGATCTATCACCATTCTGCATGAATACTACTGACCTGAACTTGAACTAATTCTACTTAAGGCAGTATCCAGAAGTACCTGTGAGTTGAAGGCACGAAACTGCACGAGAATTGTTTGTTACTTGAGACTGAGATGGCTCAGTGTTTGCAACTTTATGTAACATTGTATGGTGACTCTTTTTGCCACAGCTGTTACTGTCCCATGTAAGAAAAGCATAAATCAGTCTTCTTTAGCAGGTCATAGGGACCATTAACATCGGCTTCCAGAAACTGAGGGCAATTTATAATTTTATGGCTCAATTTACAGACTGGGCATTCTAACTTAAATTTCTGCTTATCTGGTCTATTGCTTGTTAAAATTTTTTATCTGAACTTTTGGCTGGGTGGTTTGGGATGTAGAAGACTCAGAACACCTTTAAATAAAAAGCCTAATCCATCCTCACCCGAAGATTTCCGTCCAATTTCAATTCTTTCTAACCTCTCAAAGGCTCTTGAAAGACTGGTGCAATCCCAAGTCTCCAAGTTCCTCGAAAAGTCCAACCAATTTGATCCTCTCCAATCTGGTTTCCGTCCCGGCTATTCCACACAATCTGCCTTAATTAAAATTACCAACGACATTCAATCTGCAATAGATGATAGAAAATTAACTGTCCTTATTCTTCTAGACTTCTTCAAAGCCTTCGATTCCATCAACCATTCCATCCTCTTCAACAAACTAAAATCATTATCTTTCTCCAATAGTTCCATCTCTTGGTTCCAATCTTTCCTCTCCCAACGCACCCAAGCAGTCTCCATACCCAACCAACCACTATCTGCTTTCCTTTCTTTATCCTCTGGAGTTGCCTAGAGTTCAAGCATATCTCCTCTCCTTTTCAGCTCCTACATTAACGACCTACCTAAATCAATTCTCCATTGTTCCCATCACCTTTATGCAGATGATTCCCAGATCTACCTATCCTTTTCTCCCTCTGAATTACTGGGGGCATTTGCCAAGATTCAAGAAGACCTTGATCGAATCAATGCCTGGGCAAATGTAAATGGATTAAAGTTAAATGCTGCCAAAACTCAGGCCATTGTCATTGGTTCTAAGCCCCTTATTAGATCCCATACTGACTTTCCCATATTACACCTTAATGACCAGCCAATTCCCTTCTACTCCTCTGTTAAAAATTTAGGATTTTTCATAGATCAAACCCTCTCCTGGAATTACCATATTTCTCACATTTCCCGTCGGACAATTTCTACCCTTAAACTATTTCATCGCTTCCGCCATCTCCTACCTCAACATATCCGTAGACTCCTAATTTCCTCTCTCATCTTCCCCCACTTTGACAACAGCTGTGTGGTGTATGATGGCCTCTTGGTGGAGCTCCGTGATAGACTGAAAAGATTAATGAATAGCTGCGTAAGATTTGTTATTGGTGCCCCGAGGTACTCCCATGTCTCTCACCACTACACTGAGTTAAGGTGGCTCTTCCCCTCCTTCCGAAGACAATATTTTCTAGGTACGTTCCTCTACCAAATCATCATCAACCATCGTCCTTCTTACGCCTACAACCTTCTCCAGTTCAAATCCTCAGTCCATTCCCTGTCCACAAGATCTCGACCTTCTGACCTTTACATGCCTTCTCACAGATCTGCCTCATTCCAAAATTCCTTTATTGTTCGCTCTGTCAATTTCTGGAATTCCCTCCCTATCAAAATTCGACATTCCCCCTCCATATCCACATTCAAATCTCTCCTATTCCAATTCCTATCACAAAAACAGTCAGATACTTGATAACCATTCGAGCGGATTTTAATAGAGAATTTGATACATTTTTATTTTTTAATTCTTTATTTTTTTCGGAAAAGTGTATACTGGTCTATAAGAGCAAATAGCTTTAAGTGTCTTGTCATAGTATTAATGGTTTTGTATATAGTTTAGTTTGTTTTGTATATAGAATTTTTACCTTAAATTTTTTTTACATTATTTCTTTTTTTCGATTGATTTTATTTTGGCCAGATGTAATATTTTAATTTTGTTCTATTCTGTTATTCTCAAGAGACTGTGTCCCAGAATAAAGTTATTTTTCTATCTATCAACACATTTTTGCTACTCTAACTTGTGACCTAACAAATTTGCAAAATTCTTCAAAGTTAGGAACTGTCTCTTCGCTGAGACTATTTTCAAACATTTTTCTCGTATTAGGGTCTACAATGTTCAGTCCAAGATGCAGTAAAATAAAATCGGTGAGGTTATTTAGTTTAAAATTTTTTAAGGCATTGTAATTATCTTTAAATGTTTCCAGAAGCTTCTAAAGTTCGAAGAATTATCAACAGAAAATGGTTTTAATCGTATAGTCTTGTTAAGATGATAGGCCGCAATGATCCTTTTATTACTGTAGTGCTTTACTTTTATATTACGTTTACTTTTATCCTATGTTCTTCATCTAATGATTCATTTAGCACGGAAATCTTATTCAACACCGCTTCAAATTCCTCCAGTTGTGGCTTAATTTCTGAAGGATGTTAGGAAAGGATGTTATATACATAAATTAAAAGGGCTTCAAGGAGAAGACTTTAGCCAAGTTTAATTAAAATCGTTACAGCCGTTTAGGCGCTACAGTCTATAGTGACACAAGTTTTTTGGACACAGGAACTGGCAGCTCCTGCGGATTAAAATTTTTTAGATCTTCTGATCTGCCCCCACCACTCGCCGTAACGAGAGAATTTAGAACTATCTTCACACAAACAGGGGAATTCCACAACTATAGCTTGATATGTGTTCATGCTCCTATTAAAGTATCACCATTGTGATATCATGTCACTATTATGATGTAAAGTAAGTGATTTCAATGACCAAGTTGCTAAGGAATGGATTTTTCTACATACTATTGGTTGTTAAGACTGCATAAAGTATGTAGTGAGGATAGAAAACATCTTGTTGATTTTGAGGATTTAATTATTGGGATTCCAGGATATCTCCTAATTGGAAAATTTGGGAATAAAGTGGGGATTTTGTGTAGTTCGAAATCAGTCAGAAATATTTAGTAAATTTTGCAAAAATCATGGTTAGTTGTTCACTTTAATATCTTGCTTCAATTTTATAAACTATGAGGAAGCTAATTTTTGCATTCAAAGAATGAATGAAACTTCTTTTAACAGATTTTAGTAAAACAGAAATATATATATATATATATATATATATATATATATATATATATATATATATATATATATATATATATATTTACTACAATATCTACCCTTACTCTGATTTTCCAGTTCTAAGTGAAACTCCTAGCTGAGCACACCTATAGATTTTTATTCTTCTAATTTTATTTGCTTATTGTTTATTTTTTGGTTTTCTTTTTTCTTTTCTGTCTTCATATTCTTTTATGTCCATTATTTCATATTATATCCTTTTTCCTTTTCTTCCAATCTCTTCTGTAGATCTGTAGGAGTATATTCACAATGGCATATATTATATATTACACTAAGACAATTGTTACAATCTATTTACTTCAGTTTAGGATCTTGTTACTTATCTGACTCTGTTTATATTATAATGTACTTACTGTTTATAATTTTAATAAGCTTATTCACATTGTTTATAATTTTTTGCCTAAATATTATGTAACTTCCACAATATTCTATATCTTTTTGTATCTTGTCCATTCTAGCCCTGAAAAAGACCTGCAAAGTCGGGTCGAAACGTTGGCTTTTAATAAAATGGTTTTGCCACTATTTAGTCTATTTATGACCACCACCCCAGACTATCTCCTTCCTTAATAATGCAACGGTCAACTATTAAATATTCAATAAAGAATTTAATACTTGAAACTATAAGAGAGAAGTACCCCTCCCTCTCATCCACATTATATGTGTACACAGACGATTCTGCAAATAGTGCAAGAAAGGATGGAGGGACTGGTGTTTATGCAGAAGGTTTCCAAATGTCACAGACTGTGGGGAAGCTAGCAAGTAACTTTGATAGCTAAGTAAAAGCAGTTCATCTGATAAAAAACCTGTAATAATTGCCATTTCAGATGCTTCCTACTGTTCCACAAATCAAATTAATATGTGCCAGAAATTGATTGAGGAGCTGATTTTAGAAGGCTTATCACTGTGGGCTAATATCAGGACACTGTGGATTGTCAGGGAACTTTTTCACCAAAGTGGAAACCCAGTTGCACAGTTTCGAATGAAGACTGGACATGACTATCTCCAAAGATAGTTACATTGTATTGGAGTTGTTGAATCAGCAACATGACCACTGGTTCTGCAAGGATCTGTAACAGCTCTGGGTACTTATAGAGATGTGTAGTTCATGGGGGAATGGCTCCAAAGGAACAGCTCCTTTTAGTGAACGTTAGGAACGATAAACGGTTTTTAAGGAACAGTCATTCACTCCATATGATCGCTCCTCTCTGTCTTAAAAATTTCAAATTTGGAAGAAAGGTATTTGTTTTTTCAAAAAAGTGTTTAAAATATCATCAATTTTTGGACTACGGCTTGATCAATTTTTTTTTTTTTTTCATTTAATTCATTATGTTTGGTATAATAATTTTCTAATAACATATAAATTGACCTTTTCGATTTGTTTTTGTTGGCACAAATCCCATCTAAATAATTTAAAAGTTTATAAGAAATCCTTCAACGATTGATTCCTTAAAAATAACCTATTAATAATAGAATAAAGAAAAAAACAGTGATGTTTAAATTACTAATCATACTACCCAAATAATATTGAAATTTATATTATCAAAAAAATATATAAATTAACTTATTTAATTAGTGAATAATAATACAGATGGAAATCTCCCGACAGAAAAAAGAGAAATCCTGGAGAGATAGAGGCAGTACTTTGGAAAACTCCTTCATCAAGACGACGCAGAAGAAGAAGCCCGCATCATCTCTTGTCTGCTTCACAAGAAGGGCGACCTAATGGAGTGTGACAACTACAGGAGTATAGTCCTCCTTTCGAGT